TCCTATCTATATGAAGGCGAATGTCGTGCGGAATCTTCTAAGGACGAAGGAGAAGTTAGGGGACACGAAGGGACCCAGTTGTGAACACCAAAGTTGAAAGCATTCTCGAAAGTAATGGATACTTCGAAGGAACTTTCAGGACCTGGGTTCCACATAGATCAGCAGACGGAATAACCCTCATTATGCCTTTTGTCCACGACAAAATGGCACGTGAGGTGAACCGCGTTGTGAAGAACTCCCACTTCCCATCCGACTTGTTTTCCGTCCTCCTCCTCCCTATCCCGTCTGAAAATCTCTTCAACATATCGCCGCAATATTATGCAATCGTGCCAGTCTCGAACAATCTGATTCGATACTGCGCCAAAAAGAAGAGCTGTGAACGATCCAAAGGACGGCGTTTATCTTGTTCAATGCAGAGGATGTGGAGAAAAATACGTGGGGGAAACGGCAAGACCTTTGAAGATTCGACTGGACGAGCATAGGAGAGCGTTGGCCAATCCCGCCGCTTATCCTCATAGCAGCTTCTCCAGACACCGTACGTTGAGACATGAGAATGAGGACGCTCCATCTTTCGATGTAAGCGTTCTGCATAGACATTTGGTACGGCCACTGGAAAGAAAGATCATGGAAGCGCGGGAAATACATCGAACCAGGCCAGAAATTAACAAAAAGGAAGAGTTACGTGACCTTTTGAGACTTCTTACGTAATCCATGAAGTCCTTCCTCGGGGATGATGTCTCATTTTACGCAGCTCGTCCAAATCAACAAGTAAACTAGTGGGCGGATCGCTTTTGGGGGCGGAGCGCTTTCGAAGTCCTGCTCAGCAACCAGCGCACCTTTCGTTGTGAAAGCGCCACACCTCGCTTCCCTGGCAGCCAAGTAACTGATTCGTGTGGTGCATATGCTTCCCGATGCGCTCCCTCTTATCGTAATCGCTGCCTTTAAAGAAGGTATCATACGCGTGTTGCATTTTCGTGCAATACCCATCCCGGTCCGCACTCGAATCAGTCTAGCAAATTTCAAAAGCATCTGACAGACCCCAACGGAGAAGTGAACTGGCGATGCAGCATTTCGACTAAACCCAACCAAATGGATTGCATTGCACATGCATGTTCTCGTCGTCTCATTGCACTGTTTCAGCCTAACATTAATTCTCAAAGGAAGTGCTTTACATCAGCATAAGTACATAAAGAACAAAATCTCATAATTTATTCCATTTTCTTTGAGTTCTGATTGAGCTTGAACGACGAGTTTCTCCTCCTCTCAATCTTGGTCCTGGAGTCCCCTGAAAGAAAACGATTTCTAGCTGTAATCTCAGATAAACTTGAAAAGAATATGGGTTGCAGGAGTATCTAGAACATATACTGCAGACACGCCCCCTCGCCTGTGATTGGCTGCACTCGCATTGGTAATCGTATGGGCACGCGAGCCAACTAATCATAGACGCGTGGGCGTGTCTGAAGAAAATGCTCAATTTGTATGAGGTGATATCAAGAGTTATCGTTAGGCCTACATGATGATGTGTGGCATGATGATACCACAAGTGGAAACGGCTATGAATATCGAGAACAGATATAGGCACAACCGATCCACTGCCATTGCTGCAAATCGCCACTCGGAGGTGATCTGCAAATGGGTAGAAAAAATCATCTCAGGAGACAAGAACTGATGAGGTATAATGTATAGCAGAACCAGAGGAAAAAATATCTCAGGGAACAAGAACCTGATGAGGGTAATAATGTTATAGCAGAACAGAGTCACTGGATTTATCAGTCTTTATCAAATCTTCACGAACACAAGCTTCAACGCCCTGAAGGTGATTCCTCGATAAGATCTAAGGTCGAAAAAGGGAAAAGCTACCCAGTGTAAGGACAAGCGGAGCCCCTATGGGTGCGTAATAGCGGTTAAAGATATGCTCCGGCAATCTAGCATGGACGTCCCTGCGGCGCTGTCGTCGCGATAAGCTTTCGACTGGCTGAGCACTCGCCGTAGGTTTCTAGTTGCATAGCAGAGAGGAGCGCTAGCGTGAAGTGGGAGCGAACGATGAGAAGCTCGGTCAATGCGGAACTATGGATGTAGCAAGTAAGGGTCCATATTGTCAGCGGGTTCTGGGCATCTGCCCTTAGCGCGATGACGCTACACAGAGAGTATGCGTACCAGTACCATCCTGTCGTGTCTTACCTCAACAGCAATGGATCGATCACTGTGCTGTTTCCTTTGCGGAGGAAACGCCGTCTTTGAAGGGGCTCGTATTCGCTATGATTTTTTTCTGTCGCCCTAATTTTATGATGGCTGTTTAATCGACAAACTCCGGCCCTGTAGAACAATTTGCTTATGGGTGCTCTCTTATATGGTTAGGCTTAATTCAGTCTTTAGGAAAGCGAATTATGGGTGATTTCGGTAAAATACGAGAAACTTAAACTTTAAAAATAGCGTCCAGTATTCTCAAAATGCTCCTACGTCTTCAAGAACTTCCCTTAGGTGAGGAATGCTTTTGAATTATTAATCGGATACCTATACGTTTAAACTAACTCATTTTACTATTATTACATATCTCGGAGCATAAATATCTTGAGAAGTTGTTGCCATTTCTCCGATTTGACTGAACCACTGGTTCAAAGTTCATCGCAAAAACTGAATCGAAATACGATGGGAGTTTATGACGGGCCGGGTTGCATCTGAACATGGTTAACTTCATTCTTTCAATATTATTTTTATTTTAATATGCTGAAACCAATTATTGCGTTGCCTAAAAATTCACCCATCGAATGCAGAATGCATCAGCTTGGCACCTGGGGCCGTAAGGTATGCTTTCCCCGAAGGGTTAGGGGACGAAAGTTCCTTTAAATTTTCTCTGTAGTCCCAACTGGGATTGTCCTGATAAAGGGCCTACATCTTAATACACTGCGTCCCATAATTATACGTCCACCTAAGAATTTCCCAAAATCTCAGAAATACAGATGTTTCGAAAAAAGTCTCCTATGTGACAATGTATCGCATATAAATACGCAATTGCCTATGAACATCAATTTTCTATTTGAGATCACAGGAATTTTTCCCAATAATTTTTGTGTAAAAGGCCACTCAGCCGACGTCCCAAAATTATACGTCCACCTCACGTTTATCGATTACTTTTCACTTCTGTTCCACGAAACTTTTTCATTGTGGTAACACTTCACTTCTTAAGAGAACAGCATAATAAAGACTGCTGTTGGATTTTGAGAAAGGGAAAAATGTCGCAAAAACTGTTGAACAACGCAATCGCACCAGATTTGGTCCAGATTCACACCAAGCTTGGAAATTTTTTCAGAGGTTTCACATGATATGGAGTTTAGAAGAGCTCTAAAAGTCTCTCATTACTTTTCGATGGAAACAAAGGCCGTGTTACAGAAAAAACATCCACTTTCATCCAACGGTGCTCTGTCATCGAATCTTCTTGAGAACTTTATGCCTCAACAGACTTTTGTTTCATGCATGTAAAGGAATCCCAAGATCGTTCTTGATCGGAAAATGTGAAAGACGTTCATTTGTGGCAAGGAATCGTGTGGCGAAAACTGGGCTGATTTTTGCATGAAGGTGCAGCCCAGCCGACTGAAGTAAGGTTCGCTTCTGCCCGATATGTTTTGGCATTTGTTTGTTTCTTCTCACGTCTACCTTTCCCTTAATGGCTTTTTTCTTAGAGGAGCACTACTAAAAGAAAGAAAATGTTGAAAGAAAGACAGACAAACACTCATGCATAGCAAGGAAAAAAGGACCCTGCTCCAGTCGGCTCGGCTGCACCTTCATGCAAAAATCAGCCCAGTTTTCGTCACGATTCCTTGCCACAAATGAACGTCTTTCACATTTTCCGATCAAGAACGATCTTGGGATTCCTTTACATGCATGAAACAAAAGTCTGTTGAGGCATAAAGTTCTCAAGAAGATTCGATGACAGAGCACCGTTGGATGAAAATGGATGTTATTTCTGTAACACCGCCTTTGTTTCCATCGAAAAGTAATGAGAGACTTTTAGAGCTCTTCTAAGCTCCATATCATGTGAAACCCCTGAAAAAATTCTCAAGCTTGGCGTGAATCTGGACCAAATCTGGTGCGGTTCCGTTGTTCAACAGTTTTTGCGACATTTTCCCTTTCTCAAAATCCAACAGCAGTCTTTATTATGCTGTTCTCTTAAGAAGTGAAGTGTTACCACAATGAAAAAGTTTCGTGGAACAGAAGTGAAAAGTAATCGATAAACGTGAGGTGGACGTATAATTTTGGGACGTCGGCTGAGTGGCCTTTTACACAAAAATTATTGGGAAAAATTCCTGTGATCTCAAATAGAAAATTGATGTTCATAGGCAATTGCGTATTTATATGCGATACATTGTCACATAGGAGACTTTTTTCGTAACATCTGTATTTCTGAGATTTTGGGAAATTCTTAGGTGGACGTATAATTATGGGACGCAGTGTATATGTGTGTGAGTTAAAAGTAAGCATTCATTGAAAATAAAGAAACAGTATCGCTTAAAACAAAAAAAATTAAAGGGACTTTCGTCCCCGCAACCATTCGGGGAAACACTTCCAGGTCGCAGATGATCAATGGCTAACATGTGACGTTTGAAATCGACCTCAGTTATAAGAGCAATAAAACACCACACAAAAAACACAATAACCAACCCTTACCTACATGTTTAAAGTGCTGGTTTTCTGTGCTCTGTAATGTAGCTTGGCGGAAAATTAACTTTGTGAACCTTCTGTTTAACTGAGTCGTTTTGGCCTGAACGTCTTCCACGCATCAGAGTTACGCAACCACCACCATCACCGTCACGTCGTCACGATCCACTCACTGCTCTAACGAATATGACGAGGGCAGCGGGCTTTTCCGTCCAGCGAACTTTTCCGTCCTAAGGTAGCACCGATGAGCTGGTTTTTCACGCTGTTCAGGTCTTCTCTGGGATTTTTTAACATTATGCCGAAACCGAGGCGAAAGTGGTGTAGTGGTGGCAAGTTGGCACGTCTCACCGCAGCGGTCGGGGACCAAATTCTGCGGCCGTAGAGTTCGCTGGGCAAACAAGCCTTCCTATTTCCTCGGGGTCGGGTTAAAGTGGTAAGCTGACATAAGATGAAACAGGGTCTTGGTCGTATAATGATAGCGCTTTTATTCCAACGACTAGGCTCCATACTATGCTGATCGTGAGGCAAAGTGCTTCGGCTGTAAGTCAACATACTTCCAATATCAAGTTGACATTGGAAGTATGTTGACTGGTGATGGCATTTACTAACACAATACTCACCGAAGGTTTTGGATGAACTTCCTTTGTATTGCCGTGTTTAGAGTGGACGGTCGAGGTAGATTCAAAAGTGGAAGGGTACTGAGTCTATGAATAGGCAAAATACTTTTGGCGATCACCTAAAATTGAATACATCGGGATCTACCAAAGACCAATGCAACCTCTCTTACCTTTGGTTTCGGTGCTCTGGGATGGTCAGGCGTCCGCATCATCAGGATATAAGGAAGCATTCGACAATAGAACCCGCCGCATTCTAAATGGAGTTAAAGCATATTTTTGGGCAGGGACCTGAGAAAGCGCCTAAAAACATTTGCAAAAGGATGTTGAGGTATGAATCAGTTAAAAAAGGTTTTGTGACTCAAAACCTGTGAGTTAGATAAATGACGCAAACACCACTGAAGTATAATAGTTGCCAGCTGAATGATTAGCCCTATAATCCTGTCAACAGGTCTGATTTTGTTTAGTGCCCAGCTGCAGATTGATCCACCGAACGTCAATTTATTTTTATCTAATCAGTAATATAAGGGCGGAAGTGGTGTAGTGGCAAGTGGCACGCTTACCACGCGAGCGGTCCGGGGATCAAATCCTGGGTCGTGAGTCGCCCGGGCCAACCAAGCCTTCCATCCCTCCGGGGTCGGTTAATTGGTACCAGACTTGTCTGGGAGGATAAAAACACTGACTTGTACATCGGCTGGCCCCCGCAAGTCATTGTATAGGCCACATCGCATTCAAACGCCACTACGAATGTACAAATGGAAGTAGAATGCGTGCCGCATCCCAAAAGGGATTGATCAACGGCAAATGCTTTATCCTTATATCCTTTAAAGTAATAGTGAGGTCAATTTCGCGGAATTGGCGCAGGTACAGCTCAGGAGCCTGAGCAGCGGCAAAAAGGCGAGGACGAGCAGCGGGTCAGGGGCGAGTTCGGGACTCGATGACTGTAGACATTTGGGAATCAAGGCTAAATGGAATGTTCGTGTATGTACCTCCACAAATACTGCGCTGGCCACTCGCCTGGATCCATTTTGCGGTCTCTGCTTCTTGTCGCTTGTCTGGTACCGATTGACGGAAGTGAGCTCGGAAGAGGTCAAAATAGGACATGGAACCGATTTCTACAGGCTTAGAGTGGTTTGGAAGGGGACGTGGGATTGCTCAATAGTACACCAATGGCGAAAAAGGCTGAGAAATATGTAAAGAAATTAAGGGGGACTCCTTCTGCCGTTGGACTTTCGCTCACGGCACGCGCGAGCGCTGAGACGGGGGGACGATGGATGAGTGGCCACATGTGTTTGGTGGCACCATGCCAATCCATGCTTCAGTCGAACTGCTCCAATTGTGCCACTGCTGGCAGCAGTCCAAATCACCAACTGAACTTAGTGGGTGGGCGCGTTTTGGGCGGTGCGCTTTTCAAGTACTGCTCAAAACAGCGCACGTTCGTCTGGAAGCGCCACATTCGACTTCCTTGGCGCCGGGTACTGCAGGGTGGGGCAAAATTACTGGTGCACCTAAATATAATGGATTTTTTTGAATCTTGTTGTACACTTTCTTGTCTAATTCTTTCATGGTATGTAGCTTGAACACTCTGCTACTAATACGCCCTGAACACAAATTGGTTAAGCCTTCCACTTTGTGAAATGCACCAATCAACCTCCAGCAGAGCGCTATGCGAAACCGTTCTCGACGATTTTTCAAATCCCCAAATTTTGTTCAAATAGCGTTCAAACTCGGTATTTGTTCAAAACCATGGGCGTGTCTTCACTTTAGAGAGGATTACTAATAATTTCACCAAAGGGGTAGCTTCAGGACACTGACCGTGAATGGTCCAGAAACAGTGCACCGAGCAAACCCTCAACTCCACCAATTATGACGAATGGTTCTCCAATTCTTCGGAAAGACCGATATATTTCCAAGTATGGGCTATCCTAAAGGAAAAAGTCTGCCCTATCAATTACCGAAATTTGAACCTTCTCATGACGGCGCTTTTGGAATCCTGGGACAAAATTGATGAAAAATACCTGCGTGCCACATGGCATGCGTATGCCAAATGCTCAGAGAACTGTGTAAAGGCTAGAGGCGATCATTTTGAGAACTGTTAATACGTTTTGAATTGTCATCTTTTCTACAAATAATATTCGTGATTAGAATCGATTTCTGAAAGCTAGTCTCGAAATGCCAGCAAAATATTGGTGCACCAGTAATTTTGCCCCACCCTGTACTTCGTGCGGTACGTGCACTTCCTATGCGCTCTCACTTTATCGTAATAGCTTCCTTCAGGTTGGCGAGCAGCGTTTACATAGAAGATTCGGATTTTTTTTAGAAAGTTTTCAAAAAATTTCCACCAAAGGTTGTGGCCTGTTTCTAGCAGCATCTTATGGTTAGAAGAAGAACGTATGAAAAGACTCACCAATGGACTCATTTCATGTGTCTCAGCTTTTCGTTCGTGGAGGCAAATCGTGAGCACAGTGAAGACACAGGAACACGCCACCACCATCAGACAGCACGAGAAAAACGCAGCTGAAAAGCCATGAATGTTCTGCAGCTCCTATGGGTGCACTCATTCCTCTGACCAATTAGCATAAGCACACTTACCAAGGATTGGAACGGATTTTGACTGCGGCGGACTCATGTTGGATACCATCTGTAGGAAGAAAATCACCGAAAGTAGTACGGTCGTCTCTGAAAGCAAAGATTCGAGCAAAACGTTCTTCAGGGTAAGAGGTAAGGTTATTGAAAAGGTGGCGCTACCACACAAAAGGTCGTGGATCGATTGTCAAATCAAAATTCTTTCACCCAAGCCTTTTATTCTCTGGCGTGAATTCCTTGACACTGAACCCGAAATTGTGGAAAAATAAATTTACGCAGAATGGCTGACAAAATTTCGAAGTTTGAACATCCGTTCATTTCATACATCATTTTTCATGAAAGTCAGCAATGCTTCTGGAATGATTCTGGGAGGAACGAAATGTGTGGCTTATCCCCGTGTAATACCCCTAAAGGTATTGTCCAGAACCCGCGTACTTACTTCATCCTCCAGATCTAACCTCATTCAAGAAATTATGGATGAAAAACTGGCTCTGTCATAAGTCACAAGGAACATAACATCTCC